AAATTATTCCTTTGTCTTGGTTTGGTATAGCAGTCTTGCTCCTTTAACCAACCCTAGAGAAAAAAAAGTCACAGTTTGTTAATTCAGGACCGGTCACTCATACATAAAATAGAGAGTTATTTTTCAATCACCCTATATTCACGGATATTTATATGCGGGCTTTTTCTAAATTATTTATATTTCAACTCGCGCATCCACCTGCGGTATTTCGTCGTAATTCTTGTAAAAAGAACAACTTTTTTCTTTTTTTTTTTTTTTTTACCTTTGCGCCAAAGAGATTAGTCTCGTAATGTGATGTTCGGATTATTAATTAATTAATGAATTCGACTTTGATGTGCAGAAAATCATTTTCCCTTATCAGACAAAGCGAAGACTCGGGGGCATCATAGTACGGCGATTTAAATTAATTATGACTGTGTAATAATTACTTTATGAATACAGTGTTTTTTTTTTCCCCCACTCACCAAATACAGACGGCGCGCTAAAACGAATCGAAATATGTACATCGACGAGGCGTGTTAAACAGCGCATTGTTTCAACATCCGGTCGACTTGAATGCGTAATGTCTGTCTGAATTTCTGGGATGAAGAGTTCTCATTATTTAAATTTGAACTCTTGTCTTCATCTTTTTTTTTGTGGTTATCGACCGTTGTGCTCTGCTGACTTCCTCAAGTGTATATCGATCTGGGTAATCTACAGGGAATTCCTAACTGAAATCCTTTATTTAATTTACGGGGTTAGGCTATGCTCGTTCCGCTGCCCATATCTAGCGATATCATCCAGTTCTTTTTTTTTTTTAGTGTTGCTCAGTTATTGCTCAACCATTTGCATTGAGCCCAAGTACACACTGCTCGACCACTCTCAACCACTATGTCACCAAATTCAGAAAGCAACGCTCGAATCCTACGAGACGATTGTAGTTGTAGTGAACGTTGAGACTAACTTACCTGCAGATTAATGATGCAACTTCTGCTGCTTGTCATGTTTTGAAGACTTGGGTTTGTATTTTTTTTCCTACAACGCTAAGTTGACAGACGTTACGAAATTGGTTAAACAACAGAGAAAATTCTAGCGTGTCAACAACATTTTGAAAAAAAACAAACAAAAAAAACACTCTGCAATGGGGTGATCGATAGTTTTTGAGACATTAATTGCGTTTTTTTTTTTTTGGTTTTGTTTTTTGGTTTTGTTTTGTTTTACAGACGTGGTATCTAAACTCCATGTCTAACCATCTTTGTATAACTTCCGGCGGCAAGCTTTTGAATTCAGTGCCATCCATCTCCTAAACTGGTGACCAGCCACGGACGGCTGGGCATAATGATCAAGGCCGAAATTCGAACTCGTTTCGCTGATTTCTCGTCTCGAGTGGCTAATCATTTCACAACCGAAAGTACATGTCGCATGTTTCTTGAAGAAGAGAGGAACATTGCCTGGAATGCACAGGGAACTGTAAACGACCATGAAGGATGCAACATTGTAAACCGGTTGATCTAATAACCTCATACATGCCAACGGAAGTAAACCTCAAATTAGACTGGATGTGGTGAAATCCAATTTTCTAGTGGTAATGAAATATCAACCAGATTTTGCTGAAACAACTTTAATTGTCGTTTATCAAATAAATGTTTTCTTTTTTTTTGTTTGTTATTGTTAACATTAGTCCTTTCTTCTGTTATCGGGAGAAATGACACTTTTCTTTTCTTATTGATAAAGTGACTCTTCTCTTTTTCAAGGTTTCAGTTCGAAATTTCCTAAAGGTTACCCGGATCGACAGACACCTGGGGAAGGTCGGAGGGGATAATTACCGAAGCGTGCTGATAACAACAACAAAGGTAAGGACATTAGTCTGAATGTAAATAATGTAAATAATCACGGAAACGTTTTGTCATAGAATGCTCACTGTCTAAGTCGGAAAAAGGTAAATGTCTACGTTCTTTTCAAAAATCGTTTACCCCGACAGCATCGGATGATTTTTCATGGGAGATCAAGTGACAGCAAGACTCCCAAATTATTCGAGATGCTCTCTGTGATATTCATGTCCGAATTTTTATACTTCCCACTGAAGATAGTAAATCTCTTCAATAATTCAGATTATTATTATTATTTTTATTTCCTTTGATTTCGACTTTTACACATTTTTTTTTTTCCGAGTCCCGCCCAGGGACCTAAGGTTAGAAATGGCATCATGACATTTTCCACTGACAAAAAAAAAAAAAAAAGATTTACATGGATAAAGCCCTCGTAAAGTGTGTGGGATTGGTCTTTAGAGAACAATTTTTTTGTATCTCCTGAGGCATGGACGTCTAGGAATCCCTTTAATTAGTCTACTGCAATCTTTTCCAACCAGTCCTAGGGGCTACAACCACAACAGGGATTGTTGATGTTCCCATATGCCACATTTTTGAGATTTCTATTTCAAGATCCTTGTCTTTTGACAGCTTTTTGAATATATTCAAAGATACATTGCAGTCAGCAGGGACGGCCATATCAATAAGGAGGCAACTTATTATTATTATTATTATTATTATTATTATTATTATTATTACCAACACTTAGAGAAGAATGCGATTTAAAAAATAAAAGACATAGTCTTTGAAAATGTTTAACGATATTTCGACAATATGTCTCTCTTTTTCAAATTATTCGAGAAAATTACTTGTGTGATTGTTTTAGAAAACTGCAGATGATTATTTATGTAATAACAATAATAATAATAATAATAATGTGACGTCACGTGCCTGCCCAAGGGTCGATCCTTTGGTCACGGTACCAACTGTGACGTCGCCCCCCCCCTGGTCGCAGCGTCGACTCTGTCGTTCGATCTCGTTCGCGGCGGACCAAGTGTGACGTTCTAACCCTTTGGTTAGATGATTACCAGCCAGCCTCGCCGTTCCCAACTCGCTTCCAACGCCTGGTTACTAGGGTAACTGCACTGATCACCGGTCTGCCCACCCACGTTGTGATTAGATCTTAGACAGACGGGATCAAACAGGGATTGGGGCCGTATGTAAGCTGAGTTCGACGGGGTGGTAACACACAAGTAAAAAAAACTCACGAGGCAAAAAATTACTGATAAAAAGGGTAACAACCTTTTATATCTAAATGTTCGTTACATAAAAAATTATTCCTACTTCCCGACCCGTTTTGTGGACTGTGGCACCAAGGTTCTACCATACAACTTAAAGACTTCGAGTTGCCTCTCTCTAGAAATTTGCATGTCGGGGTGTGGTTTGGTTTCGACACTGGGCGCTGATCTCTACCAGTCGTTCACGGCTGATTCTTCTCGCCGTCAGTGCGCGAATTGACTTCTTCTCTTCGGCTTGAGTTGGACGAGCTTATTCACTTCGGCTTGAGTTTGATTTCAACTTCTTCTAAGCGCAACTGCAAGTAACTTCTTCTTCGTCCGCCCTGCAACTCTTCTCGTCAAGGTCCGAACTCTTCTCTCTGCCGTCCGGGGCTGAACTCTTCTCTCTGCCGTCCGGGGCTGAACTTTAACTTCTTTCTTCGGCTTCAGCGCTGCAACTTCTCTGCCTGTCCGCTCTGCAACTTAAACTTCTTTCTTCGGCTTCAGCGCTGCAACTTCTCTGCCTGTCCGGGCCAAACGGACCGGCCTTTCTGCCCGCAAGGGGCGAATGAACAGGGCCCGCCGTCCGCTCTGCAGCTTCTCTTGCCGTCCGCCCCGCAACTGATTTCTGACGATTGGGGTCCTGCTTTTATTGACGCCGTAACAAACTGGGGTGGGTCTGTCGGCGCCAGGGTTTTCTTGATAATTTCAAAAGTCGCATTATTTCTGATTTCCCATTATCGCTCTTACTTTCACTCCTACTTCCTCACAGTGCCTCTGGGGGGGGGGAGGCGCATACCCGTCTCCCCTGGTCTCTCGTATGTCAGGTGACCGCTCTCGACCAATGAGACTCTGGTCGGACGTGGTCAATCCGGGGCTTTGTTCTGGGGAAGAAACACCTTGCTAAAAAAAAACAAAATCCAAATCGGCCTTTTCGCACGAAAATGACGATTTCGGTTTTCACATTTGGCTTTTTGTCAAAACAGCCTGTCGCTAATTAGATGCGACTTAAAGAAAGAATTCTCCGCCTTGTCGGCGCCTCAAAACAATTGCTTTCCTCTTTCTTTCGTTTAAGTTTGTTTAACAAAATCTTAATTATCTGAATTGAAAATATCTTCCACTCATCATTTTGGGTGGTCCTTATCTTCAACTCTAGAGCTGGTCAGGGTTTGTGTACCAATGTTTTGTTTTTGTACACATTTCAGCGGTCACCTCTCATCTCAATGACACCTTTGCGTTTGTCACTTATTAATATTTTTTCCATTGTTCTAAAAAATCTTATTACTTCAGCCAACTTTAACAAACTTCCATCCTACGCGGACACGGAATTAGATCAAGTGCTTGACCTGATAATTTTGACATTTGATATGTGCCGGTCGAGCGTGTGTCTATCCGCTCGCGGCCCGTCTTGTTATCATGTCTCTTCCCTTTCTTTCTTTTTATTATTTCTAAACTCTATTCTTTCAAATAACAATTTCTATTTTTCGTGAATTTCGGTCAGGTACTTTGACCTGGATATCTTTTGACACTTGTTTTGTTTAAGCTTTGTGTGCTTATGACCGGGTTTTGTACTATCTATTTCTCCTTCTCTTTTTCTTTCTTTCTTTCTTTTTTTCTTCCTTCTTCTTCCCTTCGGATCGCCTAAATACAGTTAGAGAATTATTCTCAAAACTCAATTATTCTTCATCTCTAAATAACTATTAACTGGTTAATAAACCGAATAAAAATAAATCATATTTTTGTGAATATCTCTTTTCAGTTTTCTAATAATGCAGGGTGCCACAATAATAATAATAAGAAGAATTATTATTATAACTCAATGTTTACACCATGTGTATGTGGGTTTCATTGAATTTTATAAATTCTTATTCAGTTTTTCTAATGTTCTTAGAAACTTAATCCCCATGAAAGAAAATTGTAAAAAACATTAGCGGTTTACGGTCACATCCCAGTAAAACACCGATTCCCATTCGATAACCGAAGTTAAGCAAGATCGAGCCTGGTCAATAACTAGATGGGTGACCGCTTGGGAATACCAACTGCTGTAATCTTGGATGTGCGGGTGGGGGTAATGAATAATGGCTAGGAATTGTTAATCGGAGAGTCGAGTTTCAATTCCAGTTGCGTTCGTTATATTCACGCATATGCGCAAATATCCTTGGGAAAGGCATGAGTCCACCTATTCTCCCACCAACTATGGGTTAACTAGTAAGACTTTTATCATTAAGACCATTATTGTATTTCAAAATAATAAAATTGTGTACAAAATGTTTAGATTTTGTCATTAAATAAACCACAGATGTTGATATGCCGCTAAACAAAAACAAACAACCATGTACAAAATTAGAAAAAAAAAATGAATAAAAAACTTAATCAAATTTTCCCTCTTCTCTCGTCAGAGTTCTAGAGGAGGGTCCAAAAACAGACAAGTTGTTATATATTTTAAATACATAATCATGAAAAGAGACATTTAATATATTAAACCCTGGCCTTTGTCTGGGATTTATATACTTTAAGTATATTAAATCCAAAACCTAAGGGGTTTTCCCCCAGCTTCGAGAGGGGGTTGTATTTATTGCCTGAAGAGTCCCCGAAAGTGCCGAGGGGTCTTGGAAATTTTTCCATGGTACGGCTGTTAAACATAATTTAAACCACGACGTTGTGCCACATCCTGTTGCGACGTAGGCTCGATGGTAGCTAGCTATATTACATCGTGTCTTTAATATGTTTTTATTTTTTTATTTGCCGCTTTACGCTAACTCTGTATTTTCATTATACTTTCGCGTTGATTGATTTTTATATGTCCATTTTTATTACACTTATTAAATCTTTAAATATTCAATTATTATGATTGGTGAGTTTTACATAACAGATTTTAGTATTACAATCATCGCGATGATTCCAATTGTTTCTAGAATACCAAATTCTCATAATTGTTTAAAAAAAAAAAAGAAAAAAAAAGAAGCTTTCCTAGAGTATAACAAGGTCGCCAAAACATTATGGCGACTGCTGTCAAATTTACGTCTCAGTTTCTCATTATTCTCTCATTATATTCTTTATCGGTTTTCAAACCAATTTTTGCCTAAGGACTTCATGTTTTATATTGGGATTTCACTGGAAAGCAAGTCTCTTCAATTCTCTAGAATTTCCTTCAGTTATTCAAAATGTTTTCAATAAACCTGTCGTCTTGTTGGTTACAATACTCAGCTTGAATTTCCTATTCAGCCGACCTCATCGCAAATCTCTTTAGAAAAGTTTCAAGCGTATCAACTAAATACCATGTTGCAATTTATTTAAAAGAATACATTCTTTGTAAAATACAGAAATAAAGAAATTGTTATATGCATTCCTTAAGCAATGTCTATTATAAATTCATAATTTTACAAAAAAATGAATTATTCTGAATTTTCAACAACTTCACAAAAGTAAATATTTTCCTCCGTCATTTGAATCGTAATAATAATTTCTATTATTATTTACAATATCCTGAGGAAAATATTACAATATTGTTACAGGGTAAATATTAATTATGGTGATCATATATTTAAAACATATCGCAATTTTCTATCCTACATTCGCATCGATATTTTGCTCACGGCAATAGAACCGCTTGTTAACTGAAAATGTTGTTTCTGATAATGTTATTAGTTCATTCTCGGGTTAGTTTAGTGAAATATTTATATATTTATGTCAATCCACATATATAAAACCCAATATATACCCATACACTCATATAGACGTACATTTTTGAATATACACACCTAAACCGACATCACCCACACATAAGCCTTTGAGTTAAAATCAAGTATTTGAGATCATTATTCTTTTGGGAGAAGAAAATCTACCCGTGACATAATTATTCTACCCACCCCTTTTATTAAATATTCAAATGAAACGATTTTTCGGAGAATGCTTTCAGAATTTTTCAGAATGCTAAATTTAAACATATATATATTAATAACAATTCACATATATAACACACAGTGTGTGTATCCACACATAGAAACACGCATACACACAAGCGCATATATACATACCCATCACTATACCCGTCTACCGACATATGTACATTCACACATACACTATTGAGTTTCAAATCATATAGACTTGTCTTTTCCGTGACACAATCATTCCAACAACCCTTTTATTAAATACTCAAATAAAGCGCTTTTCTTCTAAAATGGCCACAGCGCAAATTATGGCGGAAATTAGTGTGTGTATGTGTGTTATGACATGTCCCTCAATGTTAACTGTTAAATCAGACGTATAATAAATTCTATAAGAGACGCACTGTTACTACCTATCTGGACTGATTCGTGTTTCGGCTAAGAGAGGACAGGAAAGGAATTTATGGTCCATTGACAATAAATAAATAAACATAATGACCCCTTAAGAAAGTGATTAAAAACCGGTCACTTATGCTCACGTGACATACATCACCAAGTGGGATTTCGGTACTGTAATTTTAGTTTCCCGATGACCTCCGACGTCGACAGTTCGCGATAAAAATAGATTCTCATCACGCGACCGTGAGGGATGAGAATATACCCACAAACTTAATCTATTAATTGTCTAAGGAATTTTGTCCTGGAGATCTTGGATGGAGTTGTCTAATTAATAGGTAAAAGACAAAGGAATATCGTACACAAATAAATACAAAGAAACATCTTACATTCATCTCGGAGGCAATCCAAGAAAGCACAGAACACAAACATTATTCCTGAATTCCATATTTAATATTACGGAAGAAAGAACAAATAGCCTTTGTGAACATTCTACAGCAAATTTGTATGCCATTACCAAAATTCGAACTCCAAATTTCTGAACCACAAATATCTAAACTGCTATCCAATATCAGTTCAGTGTTCCTTTATTAATTGTACGTCTGTCAATCCATACTTTTCTAATGTTAATTTTGTGTTTGTTGTTCGCCGGTACCTGTTCGTGTGTTGCTATCTGAGCTAACCCACCTTTTTCTTTGTTTTTGAACGTCATGTTCATACCATTATTTGTTGCGAATTCCTAGCAATATATGAATAAAAAGAGACAAAAGGAAAAAACTATTCTTAGCTGACGCGTTTCGTCCTCTGAGGGACTTTATCAAGTCAATGTAGGATTTATTGCCTTGATAAAGTGCCTAAGAGGACAAAAAGTGTCGACTATGAATAGTTTTATTTTTATCATTTTGTTTCCTCTCCAGATACATTCTGTCTGAGAATATTCACACACACAAACGCGCACACATACATACACATACACACACAAACACACACACACACATATATATGATTAAATTATATATATATACATATATTAAATTTATTGCTTAAGCGTTATTTGCTAATAGATACACCTATTTGAGTAGATGTTGTTTTTATTTATTTACTAAACAATATATTTATTCATTTCCATCTACCCATGTATAACGTTTAATAAATAAGTACAAACAGGGCGTCTACTCAAATATGGTTATCCATTGAAAAAATATAACGTTTAAGCAACAAGAGTAAAATATGTGGAATTAATAAATGAAAAAAAACCGTTTTATATATATATATATATATATATATATATATATATATATATATATATGTACGTATGCGTATATTTCGCACGCATGTACTCTACCAAATATAAATAGGAGCAGGTATTGCCTTTTGGAGCAGGAAGTTTCCAGCAGTCAGCACTGACAGTCGGACCGAAAATTCTTGCTGTAACACTCTCGTTTGTATACATTTGTATTACTGTTTCTGTTAATACATTTGTTTCACTCAATTCATCTCTTTGTGACTTTATTTCTGGCCCTAACAAGGCCACAACAAATAGATAATTTGTAATGCCAAGGTCTGTATTAATAGGTTTTCTCTTCTTTTTTCTACTACTCATTAAAACTCTCCATACCATACCTGGTTACTTCCCCTTATACGGTGTCAATCGTCGCGTTCTGACTCAGCACTCTTCATTCCATACATAAGAAATTTAATTTTCAGATGATCACAACGATTGTTTGTCTTTCACAATCAGGAACACTACAATATTTATCCTGTAATGAACAATAGCCAGATGATGAGATTGTGCTATGTCGAAAGTTCTCGGAAATAAACGAAATATGTATCAACACTGTCTGTCATAACTTCGTCCCTCACCAAAAAGCTTATCGGTTAATATGAAAGGATGTAATCGAAAATAAGTAGCCAGAACATTTCTAAATTATTCAACGAAACATGTCTCGATATATATATATATATATATATATATATATATATATACAAAAAGTGACAATTATAGTAAAGTGCGTGACGACATTATCATCTTTATGTCGCGTACTCTAGTGTATGCAATATATATATATATATATATATATATATATATATATAGTTTATGCAAACTTAGGTAATCCGTATGGGTAGACCCGAGGAGGATGATATCCAGAGAGCTCAATGTAAAATTCACAGCAGATATATTTGAATAAAAGACAGACCACGTTAAGATTCCATGTAATAAGCTATTTCACCATAACCCCTTTAACAGAGTTCTGGATCATCAGACTTTACGTAAAATTAACGAAGTGAGGAAGTGAGGTGGGAGAGAAGATATGAGTGTGTCGTATGTATCATTTCAATTTCCTATTTTGATAAATATCTAAATGTTTAAACAATCAAACCTTAACCTCTCAAATATGCACGTTAAAGTAACGCGAATTAACAGCGTCTAAGAATTTGAATGAAACCTGTCGTGTAATTGATTGGGTTTGTTGTAGCTTCTTCCTTTAATGTCGGTCTTATATCTATAGACGAGTCGCGTTAAATTTGAGCAACATCTAGCCGACACACTGGGGTTAAAAATAGGAAATTGAAATGATACATATGACAAACTCATATCCTCTCTCTTCACTTCGTTAATTTTACGTATACTTGATGAGGTCCGTCAAAAACGTGTGAATTTCTTTTCATTTTTCATTTCAGCTTTTGGAAGTAAAGTCTGATGATCCAGAACCCTGTTAAAGGGGTTATGGTGAAATAGCTTATTACATGGTATCTTAACGTGGT